AAAATTAAAATCACATACGAATAGCAAAATCGTCTAGCATTAGAGAATACCATAATCACATGCTTGTCGTTTTGGTGAGAAGTCTGCTTGGCACTTTCGTTGATATGCATTTTCAGCTGAAAGTTCTAGATTAACACACTTCTCATTTATAAACTTTTATCATGTTTTTTAAAGTTTTTGGAATTTTAGATATTTTAATAATCTCCAAAATGATATGTGACAAATATTTTTTTTAAAAAACGGGCATTTTTAAATGTATCTATTATTTTTCGCATAACTTTTTGTCTCTGAATTTGGGTATTTTTATAGATGTCTTCTTTATAATTTGAATAACCTATTCTATAGCTTCTGGAGCAATGTCGGTGGAACAACTTAAATTTTCTGATCCAGTATGTGCATATTATAATTATAAATCTCTTCTAGACTCTGAGTTTCACTACATTCACTAGGAAGTAAATTTTCCCTAAATAGAATTATAAAATATTTACAACATAAGTATATTTCATTTCATTACTAAGAAAAAAGAAACACTTTGTAGTAGTTTATATTTTCATAAAATGTTTTCTTTCCAGAAAGCACTAAGATTTATTTTACTTTGTCTAGGAGAATACAATATATCAATTATTTTTTAAATTTAATCTCCAAGTTTATAATGTATGAATAATTTGTTAGGTATTGTATTACATAATATTATTATAACTTACTTGTATAACTTACTTGAAGACGGACCAAGTTGAGAAGTGAATAAAATAGGAATTGCTTCCAGCTTTAAATTCGTCTTTTCCGGCAGAATTCATGACAAAATAATATTATAAAATGTTTCCAATATATTTTATATTTACAATTTATGTTAATTTTATCAACTTCAACCTTCTCTAATTCTAGGATTTGAATACAAACCAATGCTTCAGTTTGTAGGAAACCTGCGTAAAAAAATACTAATATTTTACAATATAGGTGTACCGCCCATGTGTTTTATTTACTTACCTTTGAAACGACATGGAACTTCTCCAAATTTGTTTTAGGACAAACAAACATTGAATAATAATTTTTAGACTAATAACTAATAAAATTCGTTAAAAAAACATTCTAGGCACTCTAAAAACTTTAAAAATATGCCCTGGGAATATAAAATCACAAAAAATGTACAAACAAAACTGACAGTTCCCAAATGCTTGTTTACAGTTGTGAGTAATTGGCGCTGGTATTTAAAATAGACGAATCACATCAAAGACCAGGAAGAAAGAGAAAGTAATAGATAAAACGGTTCATATTAGCTTCAAACACATCCAGACCGTTACTTATCTATTATTCATTTGTTTATCTGAGGACGCATCGATGCGAATAAAATAGTTGCCATTTCAATTGTTAATAACTTATTATACACCAATTATAACTAGATAGAAACCTAAGATAGAAACACACTACAATTATAATAAGTAAAATAATAAACCAAGTTGGCCATGCCAGTTATGGATATTTGATTTTAACCGTTTAAATTCATGTCTGCCAAGTTTTGATATTTCGTTGTAAAATTTTCTTACCAAATATCAAAAGAGCCTAAATTGTAGGTCTGAAAATTTTTGGATCACTTACGAATATTTTAAGAGTCAACGACGAGGGATAATTTTCTTAAAATATTTGTGAGTTCGAAAAAATGTCCAGAAATAATTTAGGCACTAATAGTATTATAGGTGAAAATTCTACTTGTATCTTTTTTATTTTGAAATGGTACTTTAAAAATATGCCTCGTATTATTAGTTTAATGTCTTTTCTGGTTGCAACTGTTCTAGGTGAAGGTGATTTCTAGGAAACGCAATTTATTTTGCAATGTGACAACAGTTTAAAGCAAGTGTCGTAGACATATGTACTGGTCCATTCATAAAACGCGTGCTCGCATACACCATCCTCATTTAATTTAATGGGCGTCTCGCTCTTTCTAATGCAGCAACCGAGGCGACAGCTCTATCGCTCTAACATAAAATACAAATTGAATAGGTACTTGCAAGTAAACAAATGCATACCTATTTAAGAATGAAAGGATTAGCCTATAGTTGTTTGTCGTTGAAATTGATTCAGAAAAATTGTTTCTAAAATAAAGTGAATCAAGATTATCACCAAAGTTCCATTTTTGATTTTATAAATTAATTCTTAGTCAGTGTTTTAAAAAAAATCAGTTGGACTTTGCTTTATTAATTATATAAATAATATGTACCTTGAACACCTGCATACTTTTAACAGTTGACTAACGAAGTCAAAAAAAGCCTTTATATTGTTGGGTCCTAAACTCTAAGATTAAAGCCACAAACGCTTAAATCCCTATTTGTTTTAAAGAAATTAAAATAAACATTTAATCACGAATTTTAATTATTACACTTTCGTTAATAACATGCGTTTAAGTGTAATCAAAAGGTACAAAGCAAATCATGTTATAACATCGATCGTGGTCTCTCTTTCTAAACCACACATCTCCAATTTTAATTCGTAATGTAGGTATCTTGGTATATTTCTTTCTCATATTTATAATTTAGTTTGTTTCGTCTTGTTTAGTGTGTTATTTTTGTTTCCAGATATTTTCTGAAGTGCTCCTCTATTATTCTTGATTGTATTTCGGCGTCTATATTGTAGTTTTTATTATTATTGTTATAGTTCTTCCATTATCAATTGCAGATAATAAAAACTCGTTCGGAACCTTTACCGACAATTTTGTTTGATCTGTCATAGGCGTAGATACCTACCTCATTTTATAAATTTATTTTATTAATACTTTTAATATATATCATATGCAAGAAAGTATTCGTTAAAAGGAAATCGAATAATTACAAATTGGACGTTATTATACGCCCTTATTTAGACAGATGCACTTAATTGTAATCTTACTTGGACTTAAAAAAAAAATCATTATAGCTCGTTAACTTGCTATAATTGAATATTAAATTATAAAACGTAAAAAAGCGAGTAAAGTGTACCTGCCTGTAAGGGCGTGAACTGAACCCTTTTTGTACCCCATTCGTTCTTTTTCTGGAAAACGAAATTTCAAAGAAAAAACCATAAAGGAAAATACATTCTTTGCAAATAAAACAGAAAAAAAAACAATTCAATTCTAAAGTATCTTTATAAATAATCATGGCAGTCTGAATCCTCTGAACTAGAGTCATCATTTGGTTGAATTATGATGGGTTGTAAAGAGGGTAATACTACATACTCATCTTCTTCTTTGATAACATGTTCAACACAGTTTTTCCAAAGCTCTTGGCCGTCTGCTGCTAGAACTTTCTTTACGAGTTCTACAACTTCTTTACTCAGTTCTGGAGACTGATTACATTTTCGTAATTCTGATTTTAAGTTTGCCAATATTAGCTCTATAGGGTTAAATATGCAATAGTAAGGAGGTAGTCTGAGAAGAGTTTGCACAGCTTGTCAATATAATACATTTTTTCTAACTTTATACCTTTAATAACAGTAAGCAATTCTTTGTTTGTTGGTCCTTTTGTACTATCACTGGCAGGAATAGGAATATTTTTTTCAGACATAAAAGCTAAAATTTGAGCTTTTTTACTGCTACTATTTGGTATTTTAAGGAGTTGCCGCGAGTGGTAGGATGCGTTGTTCATAACGATTACTGACTGTGGTGGAATGTAAGGTAAAAGCTGTTCATTAAACCGTTTTTCAAATAATTCTGCTGTCATATCTTCATGATAATCAGCTGCACAGTTTTTAATTTGTTTAGCAGATAATAATAAAGCATTAGGCACGAAACCGTCTTTGCTTCCAGAGTGTACTATTATAATGCGTTTCCCTTTAGAACATGGCCCATTCAAACAGCAATTTTTACTACTGCCAACCCAACCGAAATTTACTACATCGTGACTGTCAAACCATGTTTCATCTAGATAAATTATGTGTCTATTATAACTTCTGTAGCCTTTTATCTGACGCAAATAATCTTGTCGCCATTGAACTATCCTTGGCGATTCGGTGATTGCCATCTGTTTATTCAATTTTTTGTGTTTTAAACCACATGCTAACAAAACTTGACGCAATGTTTCCAAACTGGTATAAGTGTATCCTGGAAAATCTGCCACCTTTTGCTGTATTACTTCCAATGTCGGAACCCTGTTCTCCTTATATAAACTATAAATTGTCATTCGTATAAAGTCTTGGGTAGCTCTGTCAACTGATTTCAGTTTTTTTTTTACATGTTTTTCGGTTTTATGAATAATCCACAGCAACCCCTTTCGTGACTACCGGATAAACGGAAAATTTATTTACTTTAGTTAATTCAGCAATTGTTATTATGAACGCATTATCAGACTGCTGAATATTTTCCTTTTTTAAACATTCGAATATATTTAAAATAATTTGTTGTGTTTGTATATCTAAATCCTTATCGTTAAAGTCATACTTGTCTTTAATCTACACTGTGCAATTTCATTTTCTTCATTCGCCCATGGTCTAAAGAACGCCATATTTATATTTATTAAAAGAAATTTAAATTAAACCAACCACACATACAAAAGGCACCGCACGACAGTACTCCACTGATATCGCAGACTGTCTTCCAGGAATATTTTCGAACACCTGCCTTGTAGTAGTGGAGTAAACATTATTTTTCGTTTCTTAATTTGGCATGAGTACCGTGCGTATATATTAAATATTGATGATTCCCCACATAACTGTGTTCTGCAATTGATAATGGAAGGACTATACCATTATTATTCAAAACAATTGCATTAAATTCCACTTCAACTGGATACCAACATTAGTCAAACTTTAAACACGGTTTGTCAAATCGCTCTAAACACAGTTTGTCAAATCGCTCTAAATACAATTCTACCATATTGCTACGCAAATGCTCTTTCCATTTTTACCGGAGTTTTCCCTTGCCAAAAATATATGTTGACTTTTTTTTTTAATTATATATTTATATTTGTTATGTTTTATTGCAGCTTGTTTATTTCACCGAAAATATTTAACTGTATTTAACAAACAAATTCAAAATGAAAATTCCAAGTTCTGACGCACGTGTTCATCTTTTGAACGAACAATCCGATGTTTGGTCAATCATCAGGGAAATTGTCAACAAAACTAACCAGGAAGATGCTTTCTATGTCATGGATGTCGGAGAAATTGTGAAAAAGCATAATCAGTGGGTGTCGCAGTTACCTCGAGTCACTCCTCACTACGGTAAACAGTTTTGGTTTTTGTTTCACGCTTTTAGTTCTATCTAACTAGAGTTTAGTGTACTGGCACGTTAAAGAAGAGCAACGGTAAAATGTAAGAATATATGGCATAGAAAATTTTAAAATTAAAAGTAAGTCTACTTGGAACTAAATAATTTTTTTTTTCAGCTGTAAAATGCAATGATGGGCTTACTGTCCTTGAAACTCTCAATGCATTGGGAACCAACTTTGATTGTGCTTCAAAGGGAGAAATCAACAAAGTTCTGGGTTTGGGTGTGGAACCAGAAAGAATCATATTCGCCAATCCTGCTAAACCTTCAAGCCATATTAAGTATGCCGCATCCGTTGGTGTACAAAATATGACTTTTGACAGCGAAACCGAGCTACACAAAGTCAAAAACCTGTTTCCTGAAGCCAAGTGAGTAAAATACAAATTTTTGTTATAGTTTACAGTTTTTTGTCTCCAAATAATATCAGTAGTCACTTTTGCAGGCAGATATATCTATACGTTTTTTGAATAGTTATTTTCTTATAAAACAAAGCCATTTCTTGCTCTACTAGACTTTAAAATGAATCAGATTAAAATTTTGGTGTCGACTTAGTGGTCTCGGCCAAAATTGACATGCTCATACACTTTAAAGAAACCGTTAATTTGTAGGATTTTATACAAAAATAACAATTTTTTTATAAGCTAGTCATCTTATACCAAAAATCTATACCCGACAGCATGCATACGATTTTGATTTACATAATATCCATGGGAACATGGATACTTTAAATATAAGGCCGCATCTCGAGTAGTCAGTGTTTGTTTCAAGCATCTATCCAGGGTGCTTAATTTAATTTTTTCAAAGATTTGATTTTCATATGACTACGTGCGCCCCGAGTCTCAGTGATGTAAAGGATATATATGCCAAATTGCAAGAAGATTGGATAATATTTAGGGGTGGCACACATTGATCACTTTTATCTCAAACTAGTGAAATTTATAATACTGAAGCTATCACCAGCAACGAAAAAATTACATTCAAATTCTAGATTAAAACCTTTTGATCAGACACTTAGGCAAGTACTTCATTTTCTCAAATTCCAAAGAGCCTTTGCCGTGATGTTTCAAACATTTTCGTATCTCCAGCTACCGTTTATCGAGCTCAGGCGATCAATAAAAGTACTATTGCAAAAAAATCGAAGAGTCACTCTTTGAAACTCCTCATTTGGTTTTGCATTGGGATAGTAAACTGTAGTCTTCAGTTGCCCATGGGAATGCCAAAAAATTAAAGGTAGAGTTGCAGTTCTAGTGACTGATTGGCTAAAATTTTGAGCATTTTCTTGGCGTATCTGTTGCTCTTAAAGGCACTGGTAAGCAGATGACTGAAGAGGTAATTCGGGAATTGGACCTATGTGACAACATCATCTGTATATCTTTTGATACTGCAGCAAGTGGTCCTGGCATTCAGATTATTCTGAAGTTTCAAAGTCTGTGCGCTTCAATTGATAAGAAGTCGTCATCTACAATAATGCTGGATGTAGAAAATCCCTTTCAAGGCTTTTTAGAAGCACAACGAATGAAAATGGTTAGCTACGTCCAAAAGTCCTAAAATACAGAAGTACTCCAAGAAAAGATTATTTTAGTAATTTACGTTACAAGACCGGAAAGGAGACAAGCAGATTCCAGGGCGAGCCGTAGACGAGTTCTTTGCAAGCATTATCTGTCGTCCGGTTTTGCTACTAGCGATGTAGGGAAATTTCTAAACTTACACTGTAACTATCAAAACCGGATGACAAAAAAATGTTTGCTAAACGATTTTTTATTGTTATAGACGTCTAGATGCAAATTATTTCATTGCCAGCAAAAAATGAAACACTCCATTGATATGAAACATTAATTTGGATTTGACAGGTCAGACGACAGCTTCCACCACCGGAATATAGTACATGTTGCTAACTCCCCTCCCGTGTACCTTACTACAAATAGTAAGGAGACAGATGAGGGACTATTTCTACCAATGACTTTTGTTTTTGATGGGTCTTTACAAAAACTTGTTTCATCAAAGTTCCAAATCAGATGTGGCTTTTGGCTTAAATTCAACTCAAAAATCGTGCTAAAATAATATTTATTAATTAACGGATTGCAAGCTTTTTTTGAGTGGCTTTTCCAAAGAATGGTTATGTCTCTTTTAAATGCAATGAACCAGCCCTTTATACTGAGTTTTTAATCGTTTTTCAATTAGATATTATATCCCTACTATATCTTAAACTTCTTTTCGTAACAATTCATAACCGTATTTTGCTTATGCAAATCTGAAAGATGAACTTTGCCTTTTGGCAAATGATTTTTAATAAATTGTACTATTATTTTTTTTGTACATGCCAATAAAATCATAATTATTTATTTTATTTATCTCTTCATCTTGTAAGGGCAAAGCTGTCGATCACCTAATGATTGAGATTTTTTTCCACGTCTTCCCTTCACGTGATCAATTATGGTTGTCAGTAGAATATTGTTAACTATCTCTATATGGGTTAGAAACTCCTGATTTTACTTCTGCCACAGCTTGTTTCAACTAATCTCTGGTATATTAGTTTATTAGTTTTCCTTATATAGTTGCTAAGCATTGTGATCTGCAAAGAATAAATAAATTTCTTACAGTTGATCATAATGCCCCTACATTTAATAACTATTGAATCAATTCTTTTATTAATCTATTTAGATAAATTTCTGAGTATCAGGAAAGTGTGCACCACTAAAAAATTGACCGGTACGCACTTTCCATCTGTAACAATTTTTTAGGTATATTGCCCACCTTCTGTTTTTTTTCCAATCATGAAGTTGTAATAAAAACAAATATATTTATGTATAGATACTTCGATTATATAATAATTCACATTTAAAACTTACCAGAACACACAAATAGTTCAAGATAATTGCAGATTGTAACCTAAACCTACTCTGTCAATTACAACCAACTGTTTACTGTGCATGTGCATCAACCAAAGAAGTAGAGAGGGTAGAATGATAAGGTACCGTCGGCGCAACCATGATGAGAGTAGAAATTGGGCATGATTCAACCTTCCACTCTTACACACGTCAATGATAAGGAGAGGTTTCCATAAAGCACTGTAAACAAATTCCTGGCTTGGCTTTGTTCAGTCTATATGTTCATGTTCAGCTTTGCATTTTGTTTGTGTTGTGGCTGTTTTATGCTTTTTTCGCGCCGGTTCTTGATTAGCTTTCTTATATTTGTGATTTTTTGTGCTTTGATTTCGATTTACTATTAAATTATACCTGTTAATTATTTTCCGATGCACTATTTTATAATTATTGCACAAAATGTTCTTAAACCTAAATCCCTGAATCTTGTTTACAAAATGTGCAAAACGTTGTGCATAGTGTCTATACTCCAGTTGATTGGCATCAACTCTAATATACCATTGCCTCAAAAATTCGTCGCTTGCTGCCATCTACTTTTGGGTAGCTAAAATATACTAGAGGAAGGTATTTTGAGTGTCATAACGGTTATTCATAAATTAGTAGTAAAATTACAGGCCCACTAACGCACTTACCCGACTTGAATGTTATTTGGATATGTTACAGCTTTTGAGCACTTACCCAAATGAAGACGTCAAAAGAAGTGCTCTCACAGTTGCTGAGATACATTTTAGTATCTGTCAGAAATAAATGTAAGATTGGTTTTTTTGAACGAACATATTACTTAGGCGATAAGGAAAATCTGACTAAAAATTTCGAAATCAAACATGCTAAGAAAGAGAAAATGAATCGATTAGAGGAAAAATAAAACTAGTTTTTAAAGGAAAAGAGCCATTTCGTTAATAAAACAGAATTAATTGAGAACCACAATGACATAACACCCCAGAAAGAAGAATTGTTCTGATAAAAAAAGATAATGAATGTGTCAAGGACAAACAAACATAATTCTTGTTGAGGGTAGTCAAGCATAACAGAATAGTCGTTCAATGTTCATTAATATAACGCATAGTTCAACGACGAAATTTTTAGTACATCATCGATACCCAGATAACAATGAAGGTTTTGACTTCTTTTGACAAAATTGCACTATGCACAGAGATGAGAATGATCTCAAGAAGATATTACATATACATTTTTTCTGTATTTTTACTTCCCTCTATAAACCGTTTTATGGTCCCTAGATTACGAAAAACATGTTTCCCCTCCCATTCCGTCGGTCTGTCTGTCGTCTGTCAGCACGATAACTCAAAAACGGATTTATAGAAAAACTTCAAATTTTGTATGCAGATAAGGTTCCTTTCTAGCTCAAACCCAGTTATACTTCCGATCAGTTATATACAGGGTAAGCGGTTTTTAAAATAAAAATTATTTTTAAAAATCGCAGATTTCGACTAAAATTGGTATCTGAGAATTTTAGAAGTCAAAGATTACAGATCCTAAATAAGTTTTTAAAAATTCAAATTGCGCTGAAAAGGAATGGAAAAAATAAAAATCGTCCTTTTGGTTTGTGTAGCTGGACCATTTTAAATGCAGCCAATCATTATTGTTCAATAACGGTGATTGTGACGAAAAATACCGAGTGGACGCGAAGTGAGAGATCAGGTGGGATCTAGTGGAAGTTCGATGGAGAGAAAAATGTGAAAAAGGGTTTTTGGTATGGTGGTTTTAATTTTAAATTATGAAAATCTAAGTGCTTTGAAGTTCCCTGCTTTTACAATTTCTATATCGATGGAAATTCTGAGTAAAATACTTTACCGATTTTTTCCCCAGTTTTTTGTATTTGACTCAAAAACGATGCGTTTTCACGAAAAATTTTACGGGACTTTTTTGAAATACAAAAGATTTTCTATTGATTATATCCTTATACATTTATTGTCAAATTTCATATTATTGCCGCTAGAGCACGCCTAGAAAAACAAATGTATATATTTTGCGGTTTTTCACATTTTACATAAAAACCACGCACTTTTGTAAAAAGTTTCATCAGACAGTTGTATAGCGAAAAATTTCCCATTGGTTTCGCTGCTACAGTGCATGCGCGGAAAGTGAGTCGTTTTTTCAATAAATAATTCAATTTTTGTTAAAACTCTCCGCTTGATTAAAAAAATGGCAACATTATGGATTGTGGAATTTAACTAAACATTCATTTTCTTTAATTTTAAACAATACGAAAAATTGAACGGCAACTTTATAGCATGCCCTGTAGAGGCGGAAACGATGGATTTCCGGAAAATCTGTTTCATATCTTTGATAGGAAATTTTTCGTCCTACAACTTGGCTCTAATTAAATTTTCCACCAAAGTGCGTGGTTTTCATGTAAAATGCGAAGAAACGCAAAAATATACATTTGTTTTTTTGCGCGCTCCACCAGCAAAAATATGAAATTTGGCAAAAAAAAATATATATAAGGAGATAATCAATAGAAAATC